CCGCCACCGCGCCCCCGGGCCCGGCGCCTCACCCGACCCGCTGCGCGGCCCCGCTGCCCGGGCAACGCGGCGCGGCGGGGGAGGGCGGCCCGGTGCTGAACGGGGGAAGGCGGGGGCCAGGCGAGGAGAGAAGGCTGTTGCCTACGCTGATTAAAATGCCGGAGCAACAACAAGGCTGCCCTTTCTACCAACTTGTGGGAAGACCTGGCACGCCTTACCAGTAAGTGGGCAGCTGAGCCGGTGGTGGAGAGGCTGGTGTCTGGGTCCCCCGGCGTGTCCCCCCGGCCCGTGCTCGGTCAGCAGCAGCAGTGTGGCACCTCCGTCCTGCCCTCGCCTCTCTTGTACCTCCTTTCCAGAACAAACACTGTATGAGCTTCAAAACAGACATAGAATCCTAGAACCATCTAGGTTGGAAGGGACCTTCAAGACCATCTAGTCCAACCATCAACCCAAACATAGGGCAACGTTTTCCCTTAAATTGCTGTTACTGGCAGTAGGTGCTGCTTCAGAGGACAGCTCAGCCCCAAGCACCTCAGCTGGCCAGCCTCCACGGTCCTGGAAACTGAGGACACTGGTCCTGCTGGTGGACCACCTCATCATGCACAGCACAGCCAGTGCCAGCTGCTTCCCAGCCCCTGCCGCTCCAAACCTGGCAGCATGGGCTCTCCCACCATTCCAGAACACCAAGAGGGCTCCAAGTCTTGGTGAATAAAAAGCAATTGGAAAATATGAGACCAATTAATTGCATGCTGCTGCAAAACAGGCTTAATCTATGAAGGCGTCACCAAATTAATCTTTGAATAAATGTTTACATGTAACAAATTAACAAGATACACTGCATCAAGTAATACAAAACCCTCGGGGGTACACGCTGCTTGCTTTTTGCAGAAAGAGGAGGATGGGCCCTGCTCTCCTCTGACCCTGCCCGGCCAGAGATCATCATCACATATTTAACTGTGGCTACAGTAGTCACGATCATCCTTACTGCCCTGTCTCCTGATTTATAAACAGAGCCAGATGTATTGGGCATTTTCTACTCGTTACTCCTGTGTTAACAATACAAGAAGTCTGGCATAATTACTCATGTTTTAAGTTTGGCATATTGGGATATCATCGAGTCCTTTTTAAGAAGCCATTTATAATTCAGGGAACTAATATTTTTAGTGAAAACCAGCATGCTTTTCACATGTAATTATACTAAATCATCTGCCTGAAGATTACTGTAATTCATGGACATATGAAAGGAAGGAGACAGCATAACAAATCATGAAGAGTGGAATAACTTCTGAGATAGCTGGTGAGTAAAATTAAGATCAAGAGGTAGGTGAGGGAGAGAGGCTTCAGCTTCAGCTTTGAGGGCTGGTGGTGTGACAAGAGTTGCTAATTATATGCAGGTTAATGCAAGGTTAAGGAAACTTGGGATTACACAGGTAAGTAACATGGCTGTTAGGTCAACGAATCCCTTCCAACGAGGAAGAAAAAGAGATCACAGAAAGGCACAGCAAGAGGCACATCGATGGGTCATGTTGAGAATCTTGGCCCAAAGTTATAAAGGTAGCGAAGGCTTAAAAAAAAAAAAAAAAAAAAAAACACAAAAAATAAAGCCCGGCTTTTGTGCTCAGCCCTTCCTACAGGACGGAGATAAACTCCCAGCTCCCAGCGAGACCAAACCGGGGAGCTGGAGTGGTG